CCTGGGAGCTGCTGGTGGACAAAGTCACTCAGATCTTGTTGGTTCTGAGGAGAAGCAGAGCAAAAGAGGGAAAAGCTCTTCTTGGACATTTTACCTGCTTGGCCTTGGCTCACCAACACAGCTCTTTCTGTCCATCCCACAGCTCTGGGATGCTCAGAGATTATTCCCAGCGTTCTCCACAGGCTGATCCAAACCCCAGCACGCCCACAGCGAGCCTGGGCTGGGGTTTAATGAAGGAATGAGGTCCCTGCCTGTTCTCCTGGGTTTGCCAGGTGGGAATGTCCTTGAGCAGGGACAGGGAGCTCTGCCACCCTCACCCAGAGTGAAATCCAAACCAAACCAGGGCTGATCAGCTGCTAATTAATCACCATTTATAGTTTTGATAGAACTACAAATGTGCTTGGACTTAGCAAAGCTGCTGGGAGAGCTCAGAGTCCCTGAAGGAGCTCCAGGAGAGCTGGAGAGGGACTGGGGACAAGGGACAGAGGGACAGGACACAGGGAATGGCTTCAGATTGGGAAAGGGGAGATTTGGGAATTAGGAATTGCTGGCTGGGCTGGAATTGCCAGAGAATCCCTGGAATGTCCAAGGCCAGGCTTGGATCCCCTGGGACAGTGGAAGTGTCCCTGCCATGGCAGGGGTGGCTCTGGGTGAGCTTTGAGGTCTCTTCCCACCCAAATAATTTGATTCCATGACAAAACCATTCCAAAGTCAGAGTTGAAGCCTGTCAGTCATTCCCTGGCAATCACAACAATGTGAAGTCAGGGGATGCCAAAGCAGCTGGAATTTAAATCTGAATTTAAAGGGCAGCTCCAACTCCAGAAGCCAACAGCTCATCTTTCATCCTCCTCCCCACACACAGCCAGCAATGGTCTTCAAAATGTTAAAAATCTTCAAAATCATTGTCCCAGCTCCTTCATGGAGTAATAATTCCTTCTCTAAAATCTCCAGGGAATCTCAGGAGGCTGAAGCTGCACCAAGGAGAAGGATGAGGTTGTGTTCTGACAAAGCCAGAGGATGAGGAGGGGGAAACCCAATTTCCATTTTCCTATAAAAAATTGACTTGACTTCCTCAGCAAATTCACCTTCTCCCAGCAACTTTAATCCCTGAATGGTTATTGTTAAAAAGGAGTTTGCATTCCCTCAAAAGACAAGAGCAGGAGGAAATGACTTTGTCATATCTGACTGGTTTGGGAAATACAAAATCCAATTCTGAAGGGGAGCAGATAAAGGCAGAGCCATGCAAGAGCCATCAGCTCAGCAAACACCAAATAATGAACAAGAGACTGCCCGGAGTGATAAAACTCTGATTACCACGGCTGGGTTTAAATGAGGGGTAATTGTGGCACGTCCACAGCCAAAGATTATTGAATTTTTACCTCTGGGAAGGGCCCTTTGACAGCCTCACCCCAAAACCACCAGCAGGTCACGCCTCTTTTTTAAGGTTTCCCAAAATCAGACCTGCCCAGCTGCTCCTTGTGCTTTCTGGATTTTTTTTTTGCATCCAAGGAAGCTTTGCTGGAAAAATTGCTGCCTTTCCCCAGGGCCAACAGCTCTACATCATGGGCTTGTTGGGATTAGGGAATTTCTGGGATTGCACCAAAAATTCAGGTCCTGATCACTCACTGAACACTTGGGTGATGCCCTGAGTGGGAGCAGGACTGAACCTCAAGTTGCTCAGGAAGAAAAGAGAAACAACCAAAGGATGAAAATTTCATTTATGAGCACGAGGTGGGGGCAGCCTCTGTCATTCCCTTCCACTGCCCCTTGTTCCAGACACTCCTGGCATTTGTGTACAGACATTTTAGGATGAAGTTTTTACAAAGGAAGAGGAAATTTTGATGGTCAGGAGGACGCTGCCAAGTGAAATATCAGACTTTGTGGTTTTATGTTTATTCACCCCTGCCTGGAACGTCCTCTCCGAGGCCTGAGAGTCATGCTTGTGACCTTTAATATCTGGAAAATATTGATTTATTAAAAAACCTGAGTTCCAACCAGACCTGAAATGATGAATGATGTTTTATTTTAACAGCTCTGACTGTTAGAACATAAATCCTCAGCCCCAAGAACTCTCCTAGTAACTAAATAAATATTTGGCTACTGAACTTTGATAGCATTTCCCACTGGGTTTTGTTTAATTTTGATATTTGTTTAGACTCCTCTGAAGCGAGAACAGAGCAAGTGTTGGCACCCAGGTATTGAGAAATCAAAATCTGGGTTACAGGAATATTAAAGCTACCTGGATTGATTCGGGTTTTAATTTAAGATTTAAGATTGTATAACCTTAATTTTCCTTCTGGATCCAAAGTATCTGACCGTGGAAAGCTGAGTGAGGAGTTTAAAATCCTGCTCTGGAGCAGAGTTAGAAACCTTAGGAAGGATTTCTGCCAAGGGACAATGATTTCATGGACATGAAACACTGTGACTTTATTCAGCACCTGCAAATTTCCCTGAAATTTACCTGAATTCCCAGAAGAAAAAAAAAAATCTGAGCTGATTTTCAATTCCCAACTCCCAGGAGAGCTCAGCTGCCCCCAGTGCTGGGCACCTTCCTCCAGGATTCTGCTCCAAATTCCCAAACCAAACTGCAGAAATTCCCTGTCTTGGGATCCCCTGGAGCTGCGTGGATTTTTTATTCCATGTTTTTCTTTTCCCAGCTCCTCAGATGTCTCCTTGCACACCCTGAGACAGCAGGGGATGTTCGGCATTTGTAAAACACAAAAAAAAAATTTAATTGCAGGGATCCTGGGCAGGAGGAAGAGCTCAAACCAAGCCAAAGCCACCTTGCCAGAGTGACATGGAGCAGCTTTTGGGAATCTTGGGAATCCTGACGAATTAAAGGCAGTGTTAGATTTAATTAAAGAATTAAAGGTTTATCTGGGAAGCAGCAGAGCTGAGGTCAGACCATGCCAAGCTTTTTGTGCAGGTCCCACTGAGCACAGTGGGGAGAGAAACCACACAAATCCCACGCCCAGCCCTTTCCAGCCAGGCAGAAATCCCCATTCCTGAGGGAAGGAAGGACTGAAAGCTGAATCCCAGGAAAATGAAATGGTCCCACAAGGCAGGCAGGAGCAGTGCTGGCATCTCCAGGCTCTGCTGGCACCTCACTGCACCCACCAGGAAAGATATTCCTCATGAAATCCCATCCAATTGCTCCTGGAATTTCTCCTTTGAAATATTCCAGCTGCCCTTGGGATTTCTAACACAGAAATTTTTCAATTTCAGAAATTTAAACGTTTTTAAATCAGCAGCCTGGTGATAATTCCTTCAGAGCGAGTGAAACCTGCCTGGCATTGCTTCCTGCTCCTGGGAATGTCAGCAGCAGCCCCTGCTGGGAAGCTCCAGGGCTGGAAGACTTTTCCAAGTTGGAAGTGATGCTCCTGGATTAGAATCTATTTTCCTTTTTTCCCCTGCCTGGAGTCAGAGTCGGGATTAGAGATGAAGTTTTGTGTTTGGACTCGGTTGTTTATTAATTCTCATCTATAGTACAGGGAGTGCTATGCCTTGGGTTGTAATGCAGGGTGTGACCAAAAGTCTGGATTTTGTCACCAGCTGTGGGACAGGGATCCTGATCCCATGGGAGAGATCCTCTGTTAATGGGTCAGGTGTTAACCCAGCTGGGGCAGTGTTCTTTATCTTTTCACAGCCCATCCTCCCTCCAGGAGATCTCTCCTGTTAATGGGCCATGGAGTCCCAGGGCATGGCTGATAAAATTCCATCATCCCATTGGGTCCCACTAATTAACTGATAAAATTCCATCATCCCATTGGGTCCCACTAATTAACTGATAAAATTCCCATCATCCCATTGG